TTTGAATCATGTTCAGATGATGCTGGTTGAGTAGTCATTGCATTTAGGCTTTCGTGATTACTTCCAGCCAGATTGGAGTCTTTTCTGTCTGTTTGTGTTAATTGCCTTCCAGACTGTGTTCATGTTGTAGCAGCTGTTCACCTTTCCACCTTGCCGCTCCTGATTGTCTCTCTCTCTATTTTTTCTTGCATTTCTTATCAGATGGCCCGATAAACGTCGAGTCGATTCTCCTTTACTCCGCCAGACTACCTCTACCACCTCCATCACCCAGCACCGCTACTCAAACTCGTTCAGTTGTTCCAATCAGTTGTTTGTGTGCGTATACCATTACCACCACCACCTCAGTATCACCTATCTCTTATCTATTGCCCCCCGTTCTATTACTATGTAGCACTACCATTTCTATCACTCAGCTATCAACCACCGCGCATTCGAGCATTGCCGACCGAGCGATTGAACTCATTTGCAGTGCGATCTCCTGCAGTCGTCTGCAGCAGCTGTCTGCTCGGAAGTGTCTGCACTGACTGCTGCTGCTTCTGCTGCCGTGTGACCTACCATTCTGTGGGGCAATCTTTTTCAGATAGGTACAGCACACAAACACACAGTAACAAGTGGTACGGCTGAATCCGATGCTGTTCAGTTGCTGGCAGAAGCTGCAGCAGGAGCACATGTCCTGTACGACACAGTGTACGACACTGTTCAGACGCATGCTCCAGTTGGCTCCACACGTAGGCACAACCACCACCACCAACAGATATCAACTGACGGCAATTTCCATGGTAAACAGACCTCTCTCGCTGTCCTCAGGCACTGCTCAGGTTGCTCAGTTCTATCAATTGCGGCCACAACTCACAAACAACGTTGAGAGAGTACGAAAAAGGGGCACTGTTGATAGGTCCAGGCGATGACATCGAAGCTGACAGCGTCAGGTGTCACTTCAAGCTTCGGCACTTGTCGTCCAGAACGACTGAGTTGAACATTTTGGACATCTTCCTCCTTCCTCCTTCTTCCTCGGTAGTGCCATTGCAACATTTAATGTGCAAAACTCCTTGATCCAAGCTGCTGCTGCAGTAGTTCCTTCTCATGTTGCCGATGACGACCGTGCTTATTGGAGTGAGGTGGTGGTCGGTCGTCGGCGAGGAAGGGGAAAGAGTCACTCTGGGAAAGAAGTGGGGAGGAGGCCGCTGTCACGGCATTCGGTTGCGCCACTCTAACCACTGCTGCTGTATCCATGGCTTTGTGTTCTGTGCCTTCTGTGCATGTGTTCCAGGGCCTTTGCTGGTCGGTGATTGCAGCACTGAAGCAGTCACTGCTTGCACGTTGCTTGTACGGCAGAGCCACAAGCTGCCCTCAGTGCCTGCTCTTTTGCTTTCTCTTTCATTGCTATACCGTGCTCTCGCCGATCAGATGATCTCAGTCAGTCAGTCTGACTTCTCTCTCTCTCTCTCTCTCTCTCTCTCTCTCTCTCTCTCTCTCTCTCTCTCTCTCT